AGGGTGTGAAGGCGGTCCTTGAAATGCAGCAAATACTACAAATACAAACCAAATTAACAAACTGTTACAAAATTGCACAGCCAAACACTCCAAATGCAAATGTATGTATTTCAGTAAGTTTTAAGTTGTTATGGCTGGGGGGGTTGTTTTTGCCAAGTCATTTGGCAACCCTAAAAAAAGGAGGCAAAAAAAAAAGTGATGGTGAAAAAGATGACCTTTTAAAAACACTGTTACGGCATTAAGAGACATTTTTTTTTAAATAAAGAGAATGTGTATATGCATTACGATGTTGCGTTTACGTGATCACAGACTATTTCTTCCACAGAATCCACCTAGGTTACTTACCACTGAATCCAATACAGCCACTATCTTTGCTCTTCCTATAACGAAAGGACCTTCAGGATGGGTGCAGTGCTAAATAAAAGCAACCTCATAAATCTATCCTGCACCCTTGGTGTCCCTTCTCCTCCAATCTTAACCCAGCGTCTATTATTTTCATTTGTACATCATGTCTAAATTTAGGGCTGACAAAAGCTCTCGTCGGTTATACCAGCTGATCTAAGACCTAGCCCTTTGAACATAAGTTTTATGGGACACGTAAAATGGACCTGCATCCATTACCGTCTATGCAGCCTTGAGCCCATTTGAGGAGGTCAACAAATAGTAACAGCCCCCAAGTTTATTTCCTCCTTTACCATGGATTTCTTCCTCTACAGTGTCATTGCTAGGAGAGAATCTCCACTACTGCTGAAAGTTGACTGCGGAAAAAATAAGGCACCATCATATACTTGAGAGGTGCAATTTGCTTTCCAGCGACTTATTTACCACAGATACAGGATGACAAATAAGTATCTCTTCTGGGATAGTTATTATGCATCTCTGGCCCAACCTAGGAAAGTACAGGCATTCCATTTTGAAAATTAAAAAACTGACATGATGCCAGTACGGCCTCAGTATATCACTAAAAAGTAAAGAAAAATGTCTTCTTCAAACAGTAAACAAAACTGTCTCTAAACTGTACTTTCTTTTGACAGTCACAGCTGATCCTTCTTAGATTAAGATTTAGTACAGTGACAGCAAGAAGAGAAGGGTGAAGAGTTGAGTATGATGCAGTAAAATCACTGCAAGATTTTGTATTTCAAATTCAAAAATCTGCTGAGAGAAGAAAAAAAGAAATCAGTCAAGTGGCAGTCACTGGAGAACAGTAATGTATAAAATGAGACAATGTCATTTTGATTTGATCTGGACAAAGATGAAAAACCTGCATCTGCCTCTCCAATGACACAGAACAGATTTTTCCCGTTGGCATTCTATTTTACATACGTTCTCAAAATATATTTTTCAGATACCAAGCACAGTCATCAATCCAGCTTTTGCAATAAAAGCCTCCACTAGAGACAGATGAAATGACAGAACATATCTGAGGATACAGCAAGTTCAGCCAATAGATAGAACAGCACTGGCATCTAAGGAGTTCAAGGTTAATTCCCTTTCTGGAATTAAACAACAAATGGTACCAGAGTCCAAGCAGGAACTGGGAACAATGCCATGACCGATGCTCTGTTTTTCCTCTATAGTGATCTAAAAATAACCTTTTTGGATGTCTAACGAGAAAAGCACCAGCCTGTAAAGCTATGGATACATATTTCACTGCTCATTGGGCCAAAAACAAGGAAAAAAAGATTGAAGAGAGGATCTGAAACAACTCAATGCAGACACACTCATTGCAGTATTTCTGTGTTTTCTTTTTCCACAGTTGTCTCCTGGAGGAGAATAAAAACATTAAAAAAGAGCTTAGCCCTAACAGCTATGTTGCCAGATTATAGGTTGTGAGTTTGAACACTTTGGTGTATACTATAGCACTTCTGCTTAAACAGCAGATTTAAAAAAAAAAAAAAAAAGGACATTTTCCCACATCAGCATCATAAGCCCAAACAATGACGACTAAAAACCTTTCATTTCTAAGTCATTTGTTTGAACCTAACAGTGTTCATTCCTGAGAGATGGCTAAGAGTTATCTTCCATTCTTGTCTAGGCGTGAACTCAAGAGTTCTCGGTTTAGGGGCAGAATCCTAGTCCGCTGAAGTCAACGGCAATGACTGCAATTGCATCTGAGGTATCTCTGCAAAGGAACTGCTCCTCAGTGCTTTGATAGAGTTATGTCCCTTCTTGTAGGGATGTGTGTTGCTGTAGGGAAAAAACCAACCAAACAAAAACGCCTCCACTTTGCAGTCTCTTTCCCCAAAGGAGAACTGCAACTGCAAGCGAAAGAACTTAGGCCATAAACAGATTTTTAAATCAAAAAAACAGTTCTCAGTCTGTATTTATTTACATTTAGGACTGCTGTATAAGTTAAAAAGAAAAAAAAAACAACTCTATTTTTCCCACCAGTAGCCAGCATTATCCGTTCCTACATTTTTGACTACAAGCTTAAATACAAATCAATGTAGGTAATGAATGCCACTCTAGGAAAGCTGACTAAGAAGGGTTTATGAATGCTGCCAAATGATGAAATGAAAACATGAACTCCATCACTTCATTGTTTTCAGTCCCACACTGAACTTCACTTCATAGTTTATATTAAGACCAAACTCGATAGTACATTTATGAAAGACCAGAGTTGTCATCAAACCCAAAGATGATGAAGACGTCTTGGCAACAGACGAGAACAGAATGATATGATAATCAAAGCAGCATGGACGTTTTGTGCCACTATTATTCCATCACTGTATGCTGCTATCAAGCTACTTGGAATAAAGGCAGTAAGATGCAGTGCCTGCTCTTATTTTTACCTGTAAAATACTAAAAAATTACATTTCAAAACTAAATCGTAGCATTAACTTTTTTTAAAAATGTAATGGTTTTTCACACAAGTAAACACTTTTTCTAGAGACAAAAACTAGAAAAGGATGACCTAGACTAAAATGAAGCACTTGACAGATTCCATGATCCAATTGCTCGCTGGAAAACCATTATCAGCTATAAAATGCTCAAGTCAGCTCTCATGATTTTTAATTCTTTGCAATGTAAAATTCATACATTCTTAAAGAATAAAAAATAAATGTAATATCCGCACAATTACAAGGGAGGAAATTCCAGCAGGCTATGTGCAAGCCTGGAGAACTCTTAGGGCACCGTTCCGTGTGACTGTAAGCCAAGCACTCAGATCGATGCTGTTGAAAGGGAACATTCTCCTCCTGCTCTCAGCTATGTGCTTTTGCCAGCTATCTCATGCTGTTACCAGCAAGCGCTGGGCTCCTCCGTGCGCTGTTTTATCTTCCCAAGGCAGTAGAAAGCAAGCCCAGTAAACAAACAAGCAAGAAGTCCAGTATGGATGATTTTCTATTGCATTAGTTAATTGAACAGCTTATGGAAGCATCTGACAGTTACCAGCACTGATATACAAGGGAAAGGACTGGAAAGTATACTAGGCAGAAGTGAAGCTGGCCCTCTCCCTTTGGATGGCACGGAAGCGTAGCCAGTCTAAAGCTAACTTTGCCACCAACTGACAGCAGCACATTGGTCATATCACCTAATCACTGCCTATTTATCCCCCTGAAAATGAGGGGTCATCATCATCTTCCTGACAAGGATGAGTAGATAATTGAAGTTTGGGACTGCCACTGAACATTAAAAAGATAAATTATTATTACTGCACTTTCATGTGCATAACATATGACTGTCTGGAAAAAAAACAAACACACACCACATTCACTGGTGGAATTACAGATTTGTGTAAGTTACAGACATGTGTGGGTGACATAAGGCACAGGTTTTTAAGTAGTAAAAAGGAAATAGCAAGCAGGGAGAGTTACACTCCATTACTATTGAGCTCCCAGCTTGATCTAACAGAAATCAATTGTACATTTATAACGGATTTAGTGCCTAAATCTTACTACTAATCAAGCTAGGGTTGAAAGCTGAACACCCCTCCCTTTACTGTCTCTCAAATCCCTCTGAAACAGGGACTTGTTTATTGTGAACTCACTCACTGCTCCTCAAAGAAATATCTGGATAACTGAATCACTCCTGAGCTGAAGCTGCAGGTATCTAAGTACTTATTTTCAAATAAAATTTTTTTTCTAGCTAGCATGCTAGCTAGAAGGTGCAAAATATAGTATTTATTATTTGCATCATGCTAGCTAGCATCTAGCAACTGAAAACAGCAATAATATCTCATTGCACTAGGGGCAGAAGGTAATACTCCCTCCCCTAAAAACCTTACTCATTCAGGTCCTGCAGAAAACCAAACATATGCTTGCAAAGAGTAATTAAGGATAAGTGAGTATAAGTTCAAGAACTTGATCGCCTTTCCCAATTTGTCTGTATCATTGATGACTTCCAGAGACTGGGCATGATCAACCCCAAAACTTCCGAGTACTGTAAGCAGGTAATAAAAACAGGAGACCAAAAAGGAGGGAGGAAGCAGTACTACAGACTAATAAGATACACTGAATTCACCTAAACCCTACCAAACTTGAATGAAGTTTTTCAGTTGGTTTTGGTGTTTTTAGATGAAGCCTCATAACTGAGATGTTAAGTGACGCATATGGGATTTCACCAAATTGCTTTTAAAACTAATGGAGCACTGGCATTCAAATCCCCTACATAGCTCTAAGAATCCCATGCTATCTTTGTACTGCAGTCACTCTAAAATATATCAATCAATGACTGAATGGATGCACACACACCAGCAAAACCCACTAGCTCTCTATTTAAATGCAGTCAAGTATTATAGAAGGCAGAGTACAGCTTTACTACTGACTGTGAGAAAACATTTAATAGCCCTCTCTTCGTAAATAAATTACTCTAAAGTGAACTTTTTAATGTGTAGGCAAGACATAGCATCTCTAATGAACCAGACTCACTCCGATACTTTGCATTTAATAGGAATTTTAACTTTGTTTTCTCATGTTACAGCGAAATGAGGTGTTTTCTTGCATTTTAAATAAAGAATTAACAACACTTAACACTGCACTGTTAACCCAACAACAACATACCTGATAAGTAACTCTCTTCTTTCCATCACCACCTGTTTCAGGCAAGGTAAGAGGTCCAGAAACAATCCAAACATCCTCAAATCTCTCAGTCAATTCCCGACAATACATTTCCATTCTGAAAAGATATTTGTCAGATTGGATAAAGCCAGCTAGGAAAGCTTAACATAATCTCAGAAACATAACATGAAGGACAAGATGAACTACTGACAGTTTTGGCACATTTTTCCCAACTCACATGACTGACATGCCCAAGAAGGTAAAACGCAGGCACAAGACATACTTCCCACTTGCTCCAGGTGCACTCAATTGCAGATACGCATGTGTTAAAAATTTGAAAATAGTTTTCTGTAGTTTTACTACATTTCCTGAAAATCCAAATTCTGTACTTACTTCCACTCGACACTAGAAAGATAGTGCTGATTGTCGCTTGGGATCAGTAAAAGCATACTCCTTTTAAAAAGCAGGCTTTGCTCTTCTTGGTTTCTAAGGTTCCACCACATCACTTCCCCCCACCCTACCCAAGGCATCAAAGTCCTGCAACACAGACAATTCTGCAACCATACATTTTCTAAAACTCAGCTCTTTCACTAGCTCAAAGAACTTAGGAGAGTTTTCTACATGCATCAATTCCATTCCCAGCAAGGCTATTTATTGCTCTTTTATATAACACTGATTAAGCATAAAGTAATAAAACCGGAAATACTAAAAAATTTTTCTGTTTTTTTTAAACTAATTAATTCAGTTTACAGCATAAAATATTTATCCAAACAAACAGGTTTCTCGATCATACTTACTTCACATAAAATGGAGGATTATAGCCTCTCTTTGATCTCATAGCTCAAGTGTTACAGAAATCTGATAAAGTGAACACCTATTGGAACTTTACTAAAGACAGAATTGTATTTCTCTCGAAGAGGCTATGTTACATGAGACAGATGAGCCCAGCTCATCTGTCTGCTTCTGAAAGGGAGAGGTTTCACCACCTTCTCCCTCCTCCCTGCTCCTCATACATCTCAGCTGGCTCTCCTTTGGTACTCTCCACCTGTCTACAAAAATAAAAAAAAGAAGATTTTGTCTGCTTTGTTTTGTGCCAAGTTAGTGTGTTAAATCAACTCACACAAGTCAGAATCAGCAACAATGACACCTTCCTCTTTTGACGACAGTGAGCTGTCATAAAGGCTCAAGCAATCTTTTACATGTTCATCCTAATATAATATCTAATACAATATCTAATAGCTTGCTATGTCGGAAAGATGCTGCTGCGCTCTGCCCTTCCCTGCTGCTCCCTTTGCCTGCCCCAGCTGAACACTCTGACTCCATCTTCCATCTTGGCTCTGACTCATCTCACCAGTTGATCCAGTTTCCTAATCTGGCAGAAATATAACCAAGCAAAACAAAAAGTGAATGAATAATTTAACTGTGTTAAACGGAATTGACACACCATGCAGTCAGAGAAGTGGTAGAGCTGGCACACAGAAAGCAGGAGAAATACATGGCTGGAGGGCAAACCCCACTTTCAAAAGCAATAGATTTTTAGACTGACTAAGCTGCAGTGTCTACCTGCACCTCAGAAGACAACTCAAGAAGCAAACAATTAAAAAAAATAGCGAAAGAAAAAAGTGCAGAAGCCAGGAGAGAATACAAGATAACAGAAAAGCATAGTATGCTTAAAATTGAGTGTCATTACAAAAGTTACCGGCAACTTAAGCAGTACAAACATCTTGATTATGTATTTAAACTGTGCGGACAGAGGTTAGGAGGAAGTGTTTGTAGCAGCCTAATTTGTGGAGTTGATGAATTTTCAAATTCTCCTCGTGATTAGGCAGAGATGCTGTTCAAAGGAAACAAAGGGGGTTTCCAACTGTAAATTGGTACATACGCCTAGCTATGGTATCAGGAAATCTCATGCTGAACCCGCCAGCATTCACAAGTGAAAAAAACTTGCCTGACTGCTACTTGGAAGCAAGGCACTCTGAGAAACACTCAAGATCTAAAGTAGCGATGACTCAGTGGGCAGCACTCAGCTCTCCAATTCAAAAATTAATGTCCAAATACATAGATGTGAATACTCTTGTATTGAAAAAGCTCTTTTTGGGAAGAGATGTTAAAGCAAAATCTAGCTCTCTTCCTAGTTTCTACTGAACTTCCCCTATGGACAGAGGCATTAATCCTGGTAATATTTTATTTATTCTACATAAATATCCTCTACAGCTTTACTGGATAAGGAATTGAAGTGGTCACTGTATTGTGCTTGCACTGTGAGGAATAAGCTGCCTTTCGTTTCAGAGAACATTGCTATGATCTCTACGGGAAGTCTATAAAGTGCTTTAGAATACTGTGAAGTGAAGGTCCTTTAAAAATACAGATTTTTGATTTACACCGCTGCCTGATATTTTTCACTTAGTTCACTCAAAAAATTTTCTCACCTGTTCCAAAATCCAGCATTATTTTCATAATTCTGAGGCACAATGTTAGAAAGATAAAATGTTTCAGCCATGGCTCTCTGCATAAAGAAAGAAAATAGTACCATTTCATTGAAACATTTTTTATAAAGATGAGCTAAAAACATATTTCAGAAGTTTTTGGATCAGAATCTTGCCATCTCCAAAGCAAAATATTATCAATATAAAAGGTCAGGTAATACCTAGGTCAGAATATCTACAAAATTATTTTGGAGTAAGAAGTACAATACTGAGATGCAAACCCTGCACACTGGATATATTTGTTTGACAGAAACATAGCACAAGAATGTCCAATTCTAGAGCCAGAGGAATTACTGTGTTACTGCAGTGTCAGTTTTGTAATGCACTTGGAAGCAACCAGCTTCCCTTTTTAGAAGGGGAAAACTTTCACTCATGCTTTTAATTTACAGAACTAGCTAAGTGGCTAGCTTTTTCTTACAAGAAAAGGCTTTATTAAAAATATTCATCAGTATTTTACAGACATGTAAGATGCAGGTGATGAAATGATTTATGACACCATAATCTTCAAACACCTATATACCTGCTTAATTTTATCTTAAAGAAGTGGCATAAAGTTCCCTAAATGAAGCTCACGTACCCCACATATGAAGGACCTGGGGCTAAATACCTACACATACTTAGGAAAAAATGAGGGAAAAAAATTACAAGATCTTAACTCAGAATTTTGATAGTTTCTGTCCTTGTCAACGTTTCTCAGATACTTATTCTTTACGTATTCTTAAGCACTAAGGACAATATGCAACCACTACCTGTAGTCCTTAAACTGTGAAAAACTTTAAGGTTTTACAACCCTATATTTAAAAGGTTATATTATCACACTGTATTTCACCCCATGTCCAGAATCTCCTCTGTGCAGGTAGCTGACCATGCCAAAGCTTCCCAAACATCACAAATAACCACAAAGACCTCTTCCAGGAGAAATAAAGTGACTGGTTCTTTCATTCATCACATGCCACGGTGCTGTCACTCTGCCCCATAGCATGTAAACAGGGCAGAAATAGAAATTCAAGCTGCTTGAATAGAAATTCATCTACCTCTGCTAGACAAGCTAACCTAGGCATGATTTAATGAAAGGAGGCATATCACCAGAGGATGATTTACAGCATCTGATTTAGACACCTGACGCAGACAGCGAGAACATCCTACAGTGCACCATCAGGAACAGACCTCTTGACTCGAGTCCAGGTCTGTGCTTCAACAATGAGACCATGTTCCATCTCAAAACAAACAGCAAAAAGGACATTATGCATCACTTTTACGGGTCTTTTTACCCTTTCCCACTGATAAATATAAATTAAGAATAATTCCTACTGTTGAAAATTTGTTATCTCCTGCTGGTGCCATGTGTCCTCGTGACCAGCCGCTCCCAACGTAGTCTTCATTGACAGCACTAAACATTAGAGGGATGTTAGGATCTGGTCTGAACTTACAGTGCCTTCGGTCTGCATTACCTGAGGAACAACACACTAAACTATTAGGTCATCAGTAGGTTATCAGTAAATAGTAACACAAGACAAGAAGAGCTGGTTCTCACACGTCTCCCCAATCCACCCATGCTTAAGAATTTAACACGTTAATCTAAATTGAGTATTTTTCTCCTCAGCCGTACAAGAGAAGAACTCTACTTAACAGCTCTGTGCTCCAGTTCTAAACTCATTCCCTTTGCACAGTGGAAATTCTAACATGCTTATTGTTTTACAGAGAAAAATAAAACCAAAAACCTTCAGGCTTATCATAAAAGCAGATTAATATTACAGGTAAGACTGCTAAAGACATAAAACAATACAGATTCACTTCTTAAGACAAGACAGACAGATCTTCACCAGGTGCAGCTCCATTTTTATGTTTGAACTGCTACAGATATGCTTTCTTTTTCCATGTCTAGCCTGGAAATAGGATGACTGTATCTTGATAAAGTCGTACTTGTCATGATGAACACATGAATGGTAAACACATTCAGCAGAAAGTCTTAAGCCATTTGCCCTCCATGCATGCAGAAGTAGTGTAGAGCTTTCCTGCTCTAGTCCAAGTTCAGTTCCCTTCCGACTTTCTGGTTATTTAGAAATTGTGGACAAAAACGATCATCTGCTGGGCAAAAACTTTTTTTAGGGAAAAAAAGAAGAAATATACATCTCGGAATGTAGATATACAGCAGTCATAATCAGCAATCAAAACTAAGGCATAACATCTTAAAACGTTATGAGTAAGCTCCAAAAGCACACATTTAGATAGTAGCCAACACTGGGTTAACATAACGAGCACCTTGCCAGGATAATTCACTGTCTTCACAGTTCCCTTTCCCTTCAGCTCCCTTCAGGAGAAACCTACTGGCTAAATGACCTCTTCTGGCATGACTGTCCACTCTGAGCTGCTCTCTTTCCTAGGGAGCCTGTGGCTTTTCCCTGGATTTACAAGGCATGCACCTATACACGCGTACGCACACTGTGTCCAGTCACAGAGGAGTTACTCAGAGGCGGCTGCTGCTTTGAGAACACTTATCCCAACCATGGGCCATTTCCTGGTAAAAGTGATGGCCAGGACAGACTCGCATGAATTACTCTGACACTGGCAATCTTTCCTAGGGAACGGCCACGGATCTAGCCATGAGCATCCACAGTGAGGATCTGCCCCAAAAAAGCAGCCGAGGTGCACACACAGGACTGATTGAGCTGTGCCCGCACAACAGGTCCACACAGGCAGCAGGGAGAGGCATAGTGTGCAGCTGGAAAGGGTGAAATCACTGGCTTAGGACACCGCCACTGATGTCTGAGATTTTGTTCCAAATACCAAACAAATCACAGTACTCACAGCATACTGATTATCTTTTCTTTATAAAATTCAGGGTGTCATCTTAGGCATAATTTCCCATACGCACTATACAGGACCATTACATATTCTTTCATTTAGCCAATTATGCAATTATATAGTCTCCTTTCATTTCTCTATTTCATTTAATACAGGCCTGTATAAGCCAGAGAGAATTCCCCTCAAACTTTGCACATATTTCCTGTTGCAAGGGGTCATTTTCAATAACTAACTCTGCTAGCTGTTAGAATTATTCTTTCTTCTATAGATGACTGTGCATATACACACAAGCTTCATGCACTCAGCCTTTTTTGTTATACCAGTATTAGTACTGAGCACATACGCACCCTGTACTTCCTTATGTTCCATACTGAGAACAAAGAGTGACAGATGCTCTTCACTTGCCAGTTCTCTGCAGAATATCTAAGGACCACAAGGAAGAAGGGAAGAGATGGGAAAAGAACATGCATATGGATAATGAATCTTGTGCAAATCAGCATCCCTAAGGAATTTCCTCTTCTTCATTGACCATCGGTCCATATGTCCATGGAGGTGACATCAAAATGGAAAGGTGGTCAAAGCATCTTTAGGCAGTACAGGCAGAAGGAACTCTCAGTTTACTACTGTTTTTTTTTTTCTTTTGGTAAAGCACATGACATGGTACTTCAGGATTGATGCTTAGGAAACAACACCGACAAGTTCATCAATGTGCAAAAACACATATTTACAAAAAAGAAATCCTACTGAATGTCAGTATTTAAGATAGTTTAATTTAGCTATTGAATTTGAAAAAAGGAAACTATATCCATTTATCAATAAAATAGATATATATATATTTTTAAATATAGCACATGTTTTCAAATGCCAATACATACAGGGCTTTTATGGTAAATACCTTGAATAGCATTGTTCTGCCTCAAGTCTCAATTAGAGTAAATATCAGACATAAATCAGGGCTGAATGCCTCAAGATGCTTAATTTCAACTTGCAGGTTAGTTGTATTTGATCATTTGGAAAACATTTTAACAATCTGGCTGTTAAAGCCCACTTGAAAGCAAGCCTGGAATTATTGCTTTCTTCTCAGACAGAAGTGAAATCAATTCTGCTACTTAGGGGTTGGTTGTAAATATTTTCAGGATCACACTTTCAATGTTGAAAGGTAATATGAAGATTGTGATTAAGATATATCTCAAGGGCTACTACTTTCATAAAACATTTTACAATTATACAGTTAGCTCCATTACAAATAATTTGCCTTATAAAAACTGAAATAAGGCTATGAACTTAATTTACAGAGACTGTATACCACTCACTTCATTCAGCACTGATAGCAAGAACTACTCTGTCTTCCATAAAGACCAGGGAGAGAATATTTGATAATGCACGTAAGACAATACAACAGAACTGCATCGAAGTAGCAGCGAGTAGGCATGCTTTTTCTACCTTTTAACTGTTGATTCCTTTTACTCCGCTTTTATCTCAGGAATGCATATTCTTTTTTTTTTTTTTTTCTGTTCTGAGGAAACCTCCTCAAGATCTACAGATAGAAGATAGAAGAGCCTTGCTATTGAAAAGTTTGACCCTACAAGCATTCACACATGTAAGGCAGTTCCTCAACTACCATAAGCTGGCCCATAAAACCAATGACAGTTTACATGAGCTACAGAAACAGAAGTAATTTTATCTACTTGAACAATGACACTGAACTTTGCAGGTCTATATCAGGCAAGAGAAGTTTAATCTTAGGTTTTTTAACCTCCTCTCCATTCACATTTAAAATAAGTTAAGGTTCCTTTCTGCAATGTGACTTACAGTGTTTACATTTACACAGCTATACTGATCTGGTGCTTTCAGATTGTTTTACAAATTCTCACAGGAGGTAGCTCAAGTTCTTCATTCCTCCCTTTCACACGCAACCCACGTGGGCCAAGTGTGCCTCGCAGGTTGCAGGACGCTCTACATGCAATACCTGACTAGTTCCAAAAACGTGAAGAACACTGAAGAGGTCTGAATACTTGCAATGGCAGGTCTCTTTTGATACTGTCATGACACTGCCACCTGCCCCGAGGCCTGCAGAATTGTGAATGGGTGGAAAAAGCCATACACAGAGAAAACTACAGGATTTCTCTCCCCGTCTGCCCCAGGTCCACGTTCTGTGACCTGCAAAGCCCATTCTGGGTGCCATTAACATAAGTAAGTAAATGCCTACATACCTAGCGTCTTCTGCTTTGAAATATGCTCAATCACCCATCTAGGCACCCGCTTCGCTTGGTCGTATGACAGCGCGTGATTTGTGTAGCACCTGGTCTCCGTCCCAGCTTCGGGGAATCCATACTTCTCCAGCAGAGACTCTTCTACCGGCTCTGAGGAGAGGAATAAACAGAAAGCCATCGCAAGGTGAGATGGGTGGCCAGAAACAAGACCGGAAGAGGCACATCCCGTACGGAGAACTACTGGAGGTTGCGGCCATAACGAAGGCAAAAAATTTAAGAGAATCCAAGCTCTCTTTTGCTAAAAACAGCTGTACTTCACACCGTGCCTACACCTGAGGACGGGCTCCAGGGCTAATTCGCTCACCTCGATGTCTGCCCAGCACCCCCCGAGCGCGGGCCCTGAGAGGAAAAACCGCCACGTATTCAGGGAGAAACTAGCACCTAAGGAGCAAAGGACCCAGGGATCAAAGGGCGCTTCAGAGAGCCCCGAAATCACACTCCTGCCCACACCTCCAGATACGCGACCAGAAGTGCCACCATCGCTGGGAAGGCTTCGGCCTTGCTCAGTGAACGAGACCACCGCTTCGAACCCGTTCCGTGGGGTATTTTGGGTTTTTTTTTTCCTTTTTGACGTGGG